AAAGAAACCAGCAAATCCTACCATCATGCAAAACAGTTACAGGTTTTTGTTTCACAGTCATCTGGCAGGACGGTAGTACAGTGGACCCCCGCATAACGATGGCATCACATAGCGATTATTTCGCATACCGCTTACTTTAATCACAAAATTTTTGCCACGCATACCGATTAAAAACCCGCTCACCGATTTTCGTCCGAGACGCGTCCAATGTGCGCCCTCACCCAGCCTCACATGTGCCGCCCGTGCCATTGTTTACCAGGCAGCCTCCGCGCTAACATCCAAGCATACACTCGGAATATTTCGTATTATTACAGTGTTTTCGGTGGTGTTTCTGGAAAATAAGTGACCATGGGCCCCAAGAAAGCTTCTAGTGCCAACCCTGTGGTAAAAAGGGTGAGAATTAGTATGGAAATTAAGAAGAATTTTGAAGGGTTGGGGCTAACCCTGAGAAGCCTATGCCAGTTGTGGAATCCATTTGTGCCTACTTCAAAGATATAAGGAAATGTGTGCACAGTGGGTTGAACTGCAAACCTTTATGGATGAAAATCACCCTGACACAGCTGTTGCAAGCCGTGCTGGTGACTATTTCAATGACAATGTTGTGGCCCATTTTAGACAAATCGTAAAGGAACGGGAGGTACAGAGCTCTATGGACAGATTTGTTGTGCGACAGAGGTCCAGTGACTCTCAAGCTGGTCCTAGTGGCATTAAAAGAAGAAGGGAAGTAACCCCGGAAAAGGACTTGCTACCTCAAGTCCTAATGGAAGGGGATTCCCCTTCTAAACAGTAAGAAGATAATGCTCTCCCCTCCTCCCATCCCATCAATCATCACCAGATCTTCAATAAAAGTAAGTGTCATGTAAGTGTGCATGCCTTTTTCAGTTTGTGTGTATTAAAATTAACATTTCATGTGGTAAAAAATTTTTTTTTTCATACTTTTGGGTGTCTTGCACGGATTAATTTTATTTCCATTATTTCTTATGGGGAAAATTCATTCACATAACGATTATTTCGCATAACAATTACCCCTCTTGCACGGATTAAAATCGTTAACCGGGGGTCCACTGTACTTCCCTGGGTGGTTGCTGTCTACCAACCTACTACCTTTTCAGTTAGGTAATTTTTCACAGTGGGGGCAAATGCATGGTGTGACCAGTCATAGAAAAAGTCCCTAGTGACCCATGCCTTACTGTTTGCCCTCCACAGCACACACAAATTAGCCTTGAGGACATTGTTTTTCCTGAACACTCTGGGAGTTTCAGAGTGATACACCAATAAAGGCTTCACTTTGCAATCACCACTAGCATTGGCACACATCAACAGAGTAAGCCTGTCTTTCATAGGCTTATGTCCTGGGAGTGCCTTTTCCTCCTGAGTAATGTAGGTCCTGCTTGGCATTTTCTTCCAAAACAGGCCTGTTTCATCGCAATTAAACACTTGTTTAGGTTTCAGTCCTTCACTGTCTATGTAATCCTTGAATTCCTTCACATATTTTTCAGCTGCTTTTTGGTCCGAACTGGTAGCCTCACCATGCCTAATCACACTATGTATGCCACTACGATTCTTAAATCTTTCAAACCAACCTTTGCTGGTCTTAAATTCACTCACATCACCACTATTTGCAGGCAATTTCTTTACCAAATCGTCATGCAACTGCCTAGCCTTTTCACAAATGATCGCTTGAGAGATGCTATCTCCTGCTATCTGTTTTTCATTTATCCACACCAATAACAATCTCTCAGCATTTTCTAACACTTGCAGTCGCTGTTTCGTAATCACAGTTTCACCTTTTGCAAGAACAGCTTCCTTGATTGCCGTTTTCCTGGTCACTATAGTAGAGATGGTTGATTGGGGTTTATTATACAACCTAACCAGCTCCGACACATGCACTCCACTTTCGTACTTTGCAATTATCTCTTTCTTCATTTAATAAGTCATTAGTGACTTTTTTCTTGAATGGTTGGCACTAGAAGCTTTCTTGGGGCCCATGGTGACTTATTTTGGAGAAACAAGCACCAAACACAGTGATAATATGGATAATATGGAATGTACCGAATGTATCCTTAGATGCGCGCACACTGGCTGGCGTGTAAACCCTGGCACACAAGGGGTAGTTCAGGCCACACGTGGACACGTCTCGTACGAATCGTATCAAATACTGTACCGGGTTTTCAATCGAATACCGAGGAAAATTTTTTGCGATATAATGTATCGAATACCGGATTTATCGAATACCGGGGGTCCACTGTATTTCTAGATGAGTAGCTGCTACCAGTGTAAGACCTCTGTGTAGATCATTGGGTAGATTAATCAGAGCTGTTACTGAGGGACTGGCCTACTGGGGATGGTTGCAGATGGGTTTTTGCACCAGCTTGACCAAACATAATTGTGGTGCAGGGAAACATCTTGGAGAAGGAGGTAGCTTGGCTTTTTAGACCTTCCTTCCTTGGTAGGCTGTCCTTTAGCACTTGTGTCCAATGTCCATGCAGAATGTTGCACAAGCTGATGCTTATTTCAAACTCGAGGCACTGACTCTCACACTCATTACTGTGAGTAGCTATTCCCACCAGAATTCACACAGATGGATGGCCATCCTTCCTCAGTTTCTTTTGAGGAGAGAGTGCACGGGACATCCACAGTGAACTTGAGCTTCAAAGCCTGCCTGTCCCTAAAGTGAAATCATTTATCTTAGGTCACTACTCCCATTCAAGCAACGTGACTAAAATTGCATTTTACTGCTTCTCCTTTCCATCACTGGTCTGCAGCTATTTGGCAGGTCAGCAGCAGTGAAGGGCTCTTGATGTGATTTAACCCCTTGACTGTCGCAACCCCAAATCCTGAGGTGTCTCCTGGTGTTGCAAAATTTCCGAAAAAAAAATTATTTTTTCTTATGAAATGATAGAGAATCTTTTCCCGATTGTAATGACACCAAAAGAACGAAATTTGATGGAAAACTGACGGAATTACGCTCTCGCAAAGTTAGTGACCTCGGCGATATTTACGAATCAGCGATTTTGCACACTTTGAGCCCTATTTTCGGCTAATTCCATTGTTCCAGCCGACCAAACTCTTAGGTATTTCTTTAGAACTCCATTTTTTCTATCGATTGAGTACAAGAAACTGCCCATTTACCGCTTTCAACTACCCAATAACGTGATCAGGAAATTGCAATTTGGCCAATTTCACGAAAATTAAAAAATATGACAATTTCAAAATAGGGTCCAGAATGAACAGTGCAGACATTCCTGGCTCTAATATAGCATTTTCTTTGTTCATCAGTCATGTCTCCAGGCCCCTCTGATATTACTCTTGCTTTCTATTTTGAATTTTTATTCAAACAAAATGTAGAAGATTTATTGTTATGCAGACTACTGCAATATTGTAATAATTGTATAAATAAGGTCAACCCATTCATGACTGCATATCAGAATGGCTACTTCTACAGTTATTGGAAAATGACATCATTTGTTTGCTTTTGAACATTGGCAAAAATCAAACATTTCCCCTACTTTGAGCTCCATTTCAAGGTTCTTTTCATAGAAAGCCAATCAAAATCACCTCTATTTCTATAATAAGTTTTCCATTCTATCAAATGAGACCAAGAAAACGAGAATACATCCATAAATACAATACGAAAATAGACCACAAAGTCGGCAATTTAATTAAAAAACGGTAGAGTTTTTTTTTCTCATTATGCACTGTGTGCTGCAGGATTTTTTATATGGTGCACACAGACCCATTCTCTCACATGTGGGCCTACCAGCTTTCTCCTGCTTGATTTGAAGCCGCTAGAATTTATGAATATATATATGTCAAACACGGTGGCTCGTAAGACGTATATACAGTGGACCCCCGACATTCGAAGGCATCGACATTCGATAAATCTGACATTCGATGCATTTTAACGCAAAAATTTCGCCTCGACATTCGATGGAAAACCCGACATTCGATACGATTCATACGAGACGTGTCCACGTGTGGCCTGAACTGCCCCGTGTGTGCCAGTGTTTACAGGCCAGCCAATGTGCGCACATCTAAGGATACATTCCATATTATCCATATTATCACTGTTTTTGGTGCTTGTTTCTGCAAAATAAGTAACCATGGGCCCCAAGAAAGCTTCTAGTGCCAACCCTTCTAGAAAAAAGGTGCTAATGACTATTGAAATGAAGAAAGAAATAATTGCAAAGTACGAAAGTGGAGTGTGTGTGTCAGAGTGCATGATGATTTGGTAAAGAAATTGCCTGCAACTAGTGGTGATGTGAGTGAAGTTAAGGCCAGCAAAGGTTGGTTTGAAAGATTTAAGAATCGTAGTGGCATACACAGTGTGGTAAGACATGATGAGGCTGCCAGTTCAAGTCCTAATGGAAGGGGATTCCCCTTCTAAACACTAACACCATCCACACTCCCCTCCTCCAATCCCATCAATCATCACCAGATCTTCATTAAAGGTAAGTGTCAATTATTCTATTGTTATTAATCTATTGTTATTATTGTTATTGTAATTATTCTATTGCATTAAACTTAATATTTCATGTGGTAATTTTTTTTTCATACTTTTGGGTGTCTTGCACGAATTAATTTGATTTCCACTATTTCTTATGAGGAAAATTAATTCACTTTCGATATTTTCGACATCTCTCAGGAACGGATTAGTATCGAATGTCGAGGGTCCACTGTATACGACTGAAACAGTCAAAGGGTTAATTGAAACTTGGTTTGGACTGTGACAGGTGGATTTCAATTTATATAGTCTCTGCCAGTAGTACTTTTGCCACTGACAATGCAGATGCTACCATTGCTTTTGACACTGGTGCCACTGTTTATGCTACCACCAATATTGATGCTGCCACAACTGTTGATGCCCTTTTTGCCACTGATACCACCGCTGCCACTAACATCACTGATCTATGAGGTCCAGACTGAAGGACTGAACATCTTTCATCAAGGCTAAGAGACAGAACACTTCTATCAGTTCTTCAAGGGTAAGGGACTGAACTCACCTTAAAATCATCTCTTCACTCTTTCACTGTCTCCAGTATATAAGTAGCCTCTATATTGATAAAGCCTATTGTGCAGCAAAATGTTTTGGAAATAAAGATAACCAAGTGTTATAGGTGCCTTATTCATCAACGTGTCTGTATCATATACCATTAATGTACAATAATAAAGAGCAAATCAATGTAAACCACTAATAGAAGCTCAGAGTGGAGACATAAATGAGAATAAAAAGTTGATGATTTGCATATACATAGTAAATGAAAGACCACTGTAAGTAACATAAAGACAATTGCAAGCAGTTATACACTGTGGCGTTAAAGGAATTTCTCGACAGACAAAGTCGGCATTATTTTCGTATGTGCTAAAAATGAAACTGTCTGTAATATATACAATATTTTGTTGAAAAAAACTAATTTATTTTCAATTTGGTAAGTTTATAATGAGGACTGATTTTGTAAATTTTGAAGAATACATTTGTTGCTCAGAAAATTTATTGATTTAGTGTATGTGTGGTGGGTTCATATTTTTTTAAATTGCTCAAGAAATATGATTTTTTTTCTTTTTGAGGTAATGAGAGCCTCTGCAATAGGTTGGCTACTAAGCACACTTGTTCCTTTGTGTTTCCTTACTTATTGTAAGGAAACATTTATCTACCACTGGACTGATGAAAGAATGACTACTCACAGGTAAGCGACCAATTTTGTATCTTGATCTGGACTAGGAAGTGTGTACTGACTTTCTTCCCACATGAGAGAAGGCTGTTACTAGAGCATTTACTGTATGCTCTGTAAGCACCTTTTCAAGTTCGATTGTAACAGGTTTATTTTATGAGATAGTACAGATATCTTTTATTAATTATGTTAATTTTACTTCACAAAGTAATATTTGTAGGTCTGTGATCATTTTCCTTGTCCACAGAGGGTTCAGTACAGTGAATTTGGTAGAAGATTCATCATCACATAAGCTGTATGCTCTTAAGCACATTACATGCCATGCACAGAGTGATCAAAAGGTATGTGTGATTCATCTTTTTGTCATTTGTAACTACACAAAATTGTGTTTAAATGTTTCTGAATTAGATTTAAATAAGAGTACAATATAGTGCTGTATTGTGCAGTAAATTTACTTTCCATTTAAATAAAGAATAAATGTCTCAGTATCATGGCTGCAACGATGCACAAATACACATATAACCCAGACTTAGGAGACTGAAACTTACGACTGTGTGTCCAACTTGGTCGTTTTAATGGCACAAGTCAGATTGAAATGTCAACATAAATTTCAGTAGAGAATAAAAAGGCACAATACCATGACGAACAATACACAAATGTTACCTTGCATTTTTTGTTTCTGTGCACTTTTTTTTTTTTTTTTGGCTGACTGTATGTTGAGTCTGTCCCTGCAGATACATCCTATTGATGGGCACCACACTTCTTTGGTCAGTACTGCCCCTTCTTGATTGGCTTGTGGATTGGATGTTGTTTTGCTTCTGCATTTGCTATTTAATCTTAATTTTTTTTTTTTTTTGTTTGTGACTCTGGAAACTGATGGGTAAGTGAGGTGGTGCTTGGTCTTCCAGCAGTTTGTACCATCAGAGGGTATGCATCTTTTTGGTCCTGTGGCTGTTCCCCTCTCTCTGATGGTTACTTGCAAATGCGGTACTTTTCCAGTACTCCTTAAGACCATCAGTACATTTATTGCCTGCCCCTATTGAGCATTATGGCTGATGGTATGGAAAAATGAAGATATTACTAAGTGTACAGTACAATACTTGTCCTGGAACTCATCGCATAGGCAACCAAGCCTTAGAGTTGCCTCACTTTAGAAAATTCTTGACAACCCTTTTTTTATTGTTCTTTTTCTGTAGATCATACAACCCTTTGTCAGTCCAGTCAGTCTACTATGCACATGTCTCATCATGTCCACTGAAAGATCCTCTCACTGGTACAGCCAACAAAGTGTTTGAAGATACATTTACTCTCGCTAAATGCACTCTGCAGGATGGAGCGTGAGCAAGATAACATTTAGAAAGGGATTCAGGAAAACCAGCTAGCTGGACTGGAATCCTGGAGATAGTAATTAGTGTGCCTGCACTCTGAAGGAGGGATGAAGTTGTTAAAATTTGGAAGGTGATTAGAGCTGTAATGTCTGCACACTTTTAGCAAGACAGCTATTGAGTGAATAAATGGTGTATCTTCCTTTTCAGGTCACCCTGCTTTGGTGGGAAATGGCTAGTGTGATAAAAAAAAAAAGCTACTTTCATTGTTGTTTAGTATATCGTACTGTACATTGCCCCTGTTAATAGCTCAGCTGCACAATATTTGTCCCAGAATTTTTCTTTGGTACCATTCATGTAGTGTAAATGCAGTCTGGTCATTTTCTGACATTTATTATAACAGTCAGTAGAGTAGGAAAGATAAGTAAATATTAAACCAGATTGTGCTACACTTGTCATTGTGGCAGTCAAGTTGAGAAAAGTTTTATACTGTATATGGAGGGAATAATTTCATTATTTGAATTTATGGATAGATCAGTTATGGGTAGATAAAGTATCTGGGTATTAAGTGGTTCTTTTCCAATTTGCTCCAACCCTAGTTTTCTGCTTATGGATATACTGTAATGACTCACTAAAGTGTTGTACAGACTTTGTCATATTTGCACCAGTAAGGTATACATTCTTGAATTCATTGTTTTGTGTTTTTACAATTTTTTAAATATTATAGTTTCAGCTATGTACCAGTAAATGTATATTTTATCTTTATCAGTTTCATACTGGTACGTCAAGTAAACTTAACTAGGTCCTGTGAGTGCCCAGAATTTGATTGTCTGCATAATATCTTTAATTGTATGATTGTATTTCACACAAGACCTACACAATGCTTTCTCTGGTTCTTAACCCGTAAACGGTCCAAACGTATATATACGTTTTTACCGCTAGTGCCCCAAATGTATATATACGTTTTTACCACTAGTGCCCCAAATGTATATATACGTTTTATTTTTCCTGCCTTCAAATTTAGCACGATTGGCCTGAGATGCCTTGTCAGCATAGAATGGGTCCTAATACTCAGTGTGCATGGTATTAAAAAAATCTGGGACCACTTAGTACCTTGTGGGAGCACCAGTTCAAATGAGCACCAGCTAGAGCAAACAGCACAGCAAACACCTGAGATTCACTGATTTCATGTAGTATTAACTTTTGCATTTTAAGAGGAAAGTGATTTTGACCCCAAGTTTAGTGGCTTTGAGGTGGATGTGGCCATAAGTGGTCGATGAAATATCAAAAAATATCAATAATAACCCATGTGCAACATTTGTGCAACACCCTTTCAGAATGTCTTATAACCTATGCCCTAAGTAAAGAGAAAATTCTGGCTGGCTGGCTGGCTGGCTGGCTGGCTGGCTGGCTGGCTGGCTGGCTGGCTGACTGGCTGATTGGTTGACTGGCTGCTGGCGGCCTGGCTCTATCTCCGTTTGTCTGTCTGTATCTATGTCTATCTGTCTCTATCTCTCTGTCTGTCTCTGTCTATTTTTGTCTGTCTCTGTCTGTCTATCTCTGTCTCACAAGTACACATAAATACAAGTATACATAGCGTAAATTACCTAGGATAACCCCAAAAATCCAGATAAAGTGCTAAACTCTGCTTGAAGATATGAGTAAAGGTGATGACCCAGTCTTGTGGCTCTCTCTGAGACAGGGAGCCTGACAGACAGATAAATAGACAGACAGACATGTTTGTGTCAGGAGCGGACTTCGTTTTTCATGTTTCAAGGGAACTTATTCTTTCTTTCTTTCAACACACCGGCCGTATCCCACCGAGGCGGGGTGGCCCAAAAGGAAAAACGAAAGTAAGGGAACTTATTATTACCTATTATTATTATTATTACATACTCTCCCTCCTCCCTCCTCCCCTCCTCCCTCCTCCTCCTCCTCCTCCTCCCTCCCTCCCTCCCTCCCTCCTCCCTCCCTCCCTCCCCCCTCCCTCCCTCCCTCCCTCCCTCCCTCCCTCCCTCCCTCCCTCCCTCCCTCCCTCCCTCCCCCCTCCCTCCCTCCCTCCCTCCCTCCCTCCCTCCCTCCCTCCCTCCCTCCCTCCCTCCCTCCCTCCCCTCCCTCCCTCCCTCCCTCCCTCCCTCCCTCCCTCCCTCCCTCCCTCCTCCCTCCCTCCCTCCCTCCCTCCCTCCCTCCCTCCCTCCCTCCCTCCCTCCCTCCCTCCCTCCCTCCCTCCCTCCCTCCCTCCCCTCCCTCCCTCCCTCCCTCCCTCCCTCCCTCCCTCCCTCCCTCCCTCCCTCCCTCCCTCCCTCCCTCCCTCCCTCCCTCCCTCCCTCCCTCCCCTCTTGCCACTGCCTTGGCTTTGTTTGTTTGTTTTCACTGTTACATATAAACATGTCTATCTGTTTGTCTATCTGTCTAGCTCTGTCTCTGCTTATCTATCTGCCTGTGTGTCTGTCTTCCTGTCTCTTTGTCTGCTTGTCTCTCTTTGTCTCAGAGAGCCGCTCATGAATTAACAGGTATTACAGACAATGCACAGTCGTCATGGCTGATTCCTGAGCAAGTGAAAATGCATATTACTTGCCAGTCATGCTTATTACGCCTTATATATACAAGCACTAAAGCACTTAGTCGGGATTTTTTGAGTTATCCTAGGTAATTTACACTATGTATGATAACTATTTATGTATATCTGTGAGATGGAGACAGACACAGAGACAGAGATAGAGACAGCCAATCAGCCACCCACCCACCCAGGCAACCAGCCAGCCAGCAAGCCACTTGGCCTGCCAAACACGTATTACACATGTTCCAGAATTGTTCCTCTTTACTTAGGGCATAGGTTATAGGACATTCTGGCAGGATGACACTACCTGTGGTATCAAAACTGAAAGGATGTTGCACAAATATTGCACATTGGTTATTATCAAGGTCTTTGACATTTCCTCAACCACTTGTGGCCACATCCATCTCAAAGCCACTAAACTCAGGGTCAACATCACTTTCCTCTTGAAAGGGGAGTGTTAATAAGATATGACATCAGTGAATTCCTGGTGTTTGCCATGCTCTTTACTTTACCTGGCACTCAGTTGAACTAATGCTCCCACAAGTTCTAAGTGGTCCCAGATTTTTTTAATACTGCATACACCAAGTGTTAAGACCAATTCTATACTGACCAGGCATCTCAGGCAAGTCATGCCAAATTTGGAGGCAGGAAAAATAAAACAATTTATGTTTGGAGCGCTAGCAGTAAGAACATAGAGCTACGTTTGGACAGTTAATGGGTTAAATGTTTATACAGTAGTGTAGTGTATATTGTAATAAACAGAATAGAGGAAATAAGCTCTAATATACAATGGAACCTTGATTTTTGTCATTAATTCATTCCAGAAAGTCTGATGAAAACTGAATTTGATGAAAACTGAAGCAATATTTCCCACAAGAAATACAGTGGACCCCTGACTTACGATATTAATCCGTTCCTGAGAGTACATCGTAAGACGAAATTATTGTAAGTCAAATTAATTTTCCTCATAAGAAATAAAGGAAATCAAATTAATCTGTTCAAGACGCCCAAAAGTATGAAAAAAAAAAAAAAAAATTTACCACATGAAATATACATTTTCATGTGGTGAAATATACGTGCACAATATATATTGTGCATGTACTAGTGTACTAAATGAAGATTAAATGACACTTAACTTTATTGAAGATGTAGTGATGAGATAGTGTGTCCTGGGAGTGCCTTTTCCTCCTGAGTAATGTAGGTCCTGTTTGGCATTTTCTTCCAGAACAGGCCTTATCACACTGTGTATGCCACTACGATTCCTAAATCTCTCAAACCAACCTTTGCTGGCCTTAAATTCACCAATATGAGCACTAGTTCCAGGCATTTTTTTCTGTTCACCTGGGTGTTAGTCGACTGGTGTGGGTTGCATCCTGGGGGACAAGATTAACCCTTTCAGGGTCCAAGGCCCAAATCTGGAGTCACGCACCAGTGTCCAAGAATTTTCAAAAAAAAAATTTGTTATTTTTTCTTATGAAATCGTAGAGAATCTTTCTGTGAAGGTAATAAAACAAAAAGTACGAAATTTGGTGGAAAATTGACGAAATTGTGCTCTCGCGAATTTTGATGTGTCAGCGATATTTACGAATCGGCGATTTTGCCGACTTTGACTCCCATTTTAGGCCAATTACATTATTCCAATCAACCAAATTCTTAGCTATTTCACTAGTATTACTTCTATTCTATCGATTGAGCACAAGAAATCGCCAAGTCAACTGTTTCAACTACAAAATAAAGTGATCGGAAATTGTTAATTTGGCCAATTTAACACAAAGTTCAAATTATTCCAATTTCAAAATAGGGTCCAGAATGAACAATGTAGGCATTCCTGGCACTAAACTAACATTTCCTCTGTTCATTAGTTATGTTTTGAGGCTTTACAAATAAATTCCATTTTGATTTTTTATTCACATAATGAATTTTTATTCACACCAAAAAATAGAAGATTTACTCTTATGCAATACTGTAATAATTGTATAAATATCATCACCATATTTGTGAATGTATATTAGACCCACCAGCTGACGTGTATTAGATGTGTGAGGTCGTTTGTTTACTCTTGAATATCGGCAAAAATTTAACATTTCCGCTACTTTGAGCTCAGTTTCAAGCCATTTCCAATGCTAAAACTAATCAAAATCATCTCTATTTCTGTAACATGTCTTCCATTCTATCAAATGAGACCAAGAAATCGCAAATACAACTATAAAAAACATACGAAAAAACACTGCAAAGTTGCTGTTTTAATCGAAAAATCATGATTTCATTTTTTTTCTCTCATTATACACAGTGTGCTGCAGGATCTGTTTTATGTGGTGCACACATACCACATAGATGTATTCTCTCATATCTAGGCCCAAATGTACCACTCACAGTTTATCAGAGTGAGCTGAGCTCATGGCGTAGATCTACGGTTTGGACCCTGAACGTAAAGCCGTAGATCTACGGGACGGACCCTGAAAGGGTTAAGGACCCCAATGGAAATAAGTTAGACAGTCCTCGATGACACACTGACTTTCTTGAGTTATCCTGGGTGGCTAACCCTCTGGGGTTAATTGTTTCTCGGTATTTTCGATAAGCCACACCAATAACAGTCTCTCCACATCTTCGAGTAGTACAGCTGACCGTGGTGCAGCAGCAGCTGACCGTGGTACGAATGATGTAAGTCGAGTTTTTCAATGTATGTTGGGGTCAAATTTTTACGCTGACAAGCATCGTAAGTCGGTTTTAACGTAGGTTGAGGACATCATAAGTCGGGAGTCCACTGTAATGTAAATCCAATTAATCCGTTCCAGGCACCCAAAAGTATTAACAAAAAATACATTTTATAGAGAATAACTATAGTTTTACATACAGAAAACAATGAGAAATAAATATAAAGGACTAATAAAATGGATATGTGAACATTTAATATCACTTTTACCTTTACTGAAGACTCTTGTTGGTGTATGGAAGGAGGGAGGAGGAGAGGTTATTGGTTGGAAGGGGAATCCCCCTTCATAAGGACTTCAGGTATCAAGTCCCTGCTCTGGGTTACTTACCTTTTTTGTCTTTTACTAGCACTGGACCCCTGTTGCACAAAAAATCTGTCCAGAGAGGCCTGTTTCTGGCGTCTAAGTTTTGCCTAAAATGGGACAAGGCATTGTCATTGAACATGGTGCATATACAGCTTGCAACAGCTTTGTTAGGGTGATATTTCTCCACAAAACTTTGCAACTCGCTCCACTTTGCACATATGTCCTTAATCACTGAATAAGGCACATTCTCCCCTCTTTCTTCCTCCTCCTCCTCCTCCTCTGAAGCAATTTCCACAGCTGCGATCTGTTGCTGTTCCAGTTGAAGGTGTTGCAGCTCCTCAGTGGTTAGCTCTTCCCTGTGGTTGTCCACCAACTCTTCTACATCCTGGCCACTCGCCTCCAATCCCATGGACTTCCCCAAAGCCCATGGTGGCTTATTTAGCAGTCTCTCTCAATAAGCAAGCACAAAAACAATGGATTATTACGAAATGTTTCGGATGAACGTGCAGGGTAATGCTCACTTGATGAGAAACAAAGCCAGACTGACTAAGAACGCATGGGTTGCTTTGTGTGGGTGTGGGTATGCGGACATGTTCATCACGGCGGACTGACGAAAACCGAAAAAAGTCATCAAAAACCAAATTCGACAAAAACCAGGGCAAACAAAAATTGAGGTTCCACAGTACATTATTTAGGCATTCAAACTGGTCAGAGAGACCCATCATAAGTCCGAGTCATCAGTAAACGAGTATGTTGCTAAGTGAGGAGAGGCTGTACTGTGTTTTTAGGTTTTAGCTTCAGCCTGCCCAAAATGCTTTGCATAACTATGGAGTTTTCTAAGTACGACATAACCTATGTTAACCAGTGTCTGTAACACAGATGTATCTTAGAAAATAAACTTGTATTGTCTTGGTGTCGTGAATACATATCATGAATTTTAATTTTCTTAAGGTGGCCTTGGCAGAAGTGGAGTATCACAAAGCCCTGTCTCATCCCAACATTGTGGAATGCATAGACTCAGACCTTGTGGGTATGCCAGATTTAATGGGAAATCGCACATCACAAGTTCTTATTGTTCTTCCTTACTGCCAGGTTTGTATAAATAAAATTACTTGTGATCACTCACTTCTAGCTTAATATAATACCTGCATGTATTACTTTTGGTTTTGTTTGCACAGGTAATTATATTTATAGATATTAATTAAGTAAATAACTCAGTCTTTATAGTACAGCTTTATGTACTTACCAAATATTTGAGCCAAAGACCTTCCCTATAAAAAATAGTTTTTGGTAACAATTACTGCAATTCTCTGTGGGGAAGTAGAATAGAATTCTTCCTCCGTAAACCATGTGTGTTGTAAGAGGCAACTAAAATGCTGGGAGTGAGAGGCTAGTAACCCCTTCTCCTGTATACATTACTAAATTTAAAAAGAGAAGCTTTCGTTTTTCTTTTTAGGTCACCATGCCTTGGTGGGATACAGCTGGTTTGTTAAAAAAAAAATTACTTCTACATGAGGTGTTTGAAGTCTACTAATTTATCAACATTCAAATGTTTTCACATAAAACTTGACAAATGTAAATTAATTCTAGTGTTATACTTATGTTAACTATTACCATAGGTAGGTGGATTTTAAGATTTGACATATTTTTGGAGTGTAAGGATGGTAACATTTGTGAAAGAATTCAGAGAAACTGGTTACCCAGGCTTAAGTGTCAGTGGTAAGGTGTATAGTGCCTGCACTCTAAATGGTGGGTGGGAATATGATTAGATTGTGATGGCCATGCACTTCTTTTAAAACAGATATTGAATGAGTGATAGAAAATGTTTCCTTCTTTGGGTCACTCTACCTTTGTGGTAAATGGCCAGTGTTGTAAAAAAAAATAATTATACTGCTTACTCTAACTGTAAGAATAAAGGACTTTATTTTAATAGATATTTTGTTTTACACAGATATTTTTATGATGAGAGTTGTCTACCCAGAATTATTATTATGAAAATCTTATAGTAATGTATACATTTTATAATAGCGGGGAACCCTGCATGATGAACTGATGCGAAGGCAACGAGCGGGTTCCCACTTGGATGAGGTATGTTAATCACATCGTTTTTTTCTTTCATTGATTTAGTAATTCTTGCCCATTAACAGTATTAAAATTTATAGTCAATCTATTATATTTATCCAGTGTTTGAAATATCTGCTACCACACTTGCAGTGTTCATGAGTTTTCACATATTTTAGTTCTGGAGGTGGAAAGTACAGTGCCTGTACTCTGAAGGAGAGGTGAGGAGGTTGCAGCTCAGAGGGCCAGCTGAATTGTTATGTCAGCAGGCTTCTGAAAAGACGAGTATTGAATGAGTGATGGCAAAAGTGTTTCCTTTTTTTTTTGGGTTACACTACATCAATGGAAGAAGTCTGGTGTTTTAAAAAATTAAGTCACTTGTACAAGTTTATTTGTTATTCTAGGTTGTTGTATTATCTATGTTCCGGCAAATATGTGAGGCTGTTCTTTGTATGCACTCTGCCAAGCCTCACCCCCTAGCTCATCGAGATATAAAAACGTCCAATATTCTCTTGAAGGATGACCTCACACCACTGCTAATGGATTTAGGTAAGTTGAACTTGAGTGAAGCATTATATTTGTGATAAGGCACATATGAAGTGATATTAATTTCCAAAGAAGTTGATATAAAAGTGGATTTTATTGCAAATTTTTCATGTAGTATTTAATTTTAAATTGTTTGCATCCCAAACCCATTTTTTTACAATGAATTTCCATCCCTTCTGAGCAAGTTCTGCCCTCCCCATTGTGCTAAGAAACACTAATGTTGAAGGGTAAGCTATGGCAGGAAAAGAGGGAATATAAACGTATTAATTCAAGGATTATGTGGAGTAAAATAAAGGTTGGATGTGAAAAGTGGGTTATAGTAAGCATTTATGCACCTGGAGAAGAGAGAAGTGTAGAGGAGAGAGAGAGATTTGGGGAAATGTTGAGTGAGTGCGTGGGAAGTTTTGAACCAAGTGTGAGAGTACTTGTGGTTGGGGATTTCAATGCTAAAGCGGGTAAAAATGTTGTGGAGGGAGTAGTAGGTAAATTTGGGGTGCTAGGGGTAAATGAAAATGGGGAGCATTTAATTGAGCTATGTGTAGAAAGAGGTTTGGTAATAACTAATACATATTTTATGAAAAAGAGGATAAATAAGTATACAAGGTGATATAGCACATAATGAAAGTAGTTAGACTATGTATTGGTGGATAAAAGGGTGATAGGTAGGCTTCAGGATGTACATGTTTATAGAGGGGCAGCTGATATATCGGATCATTTTTTAGTTGTAGCTACAGTTAGAGTAAGAGGTAGATGGGACAAAAGAAAATGGCACCAACAAGTAAGAGAGAAGTGAATATGTATAAACTAAGGGAGGAGGAAGTTAAGGTGAGATATAAGCGACTATTGGCAAAAAGGTAGACTAGTGCAGGTATGAGTAATGGGGAGGGGTTGAAGAGGGTTGGAATAGTTTTAAAAATACAGTATTAGAATGTGGGGCAGAAGTTTGTGGCTATAGGAGGGTGGGTACAGGAGGAAAGAGGAGTGCTTGGTGGAATGATGAAATATAGGGCATGATAAAAGAGAAAAAGGTGGCTTATGAGAGGTTTTTACAAGGCAGAAGTGTTATAAGAAGAGCAGAATATATGGAGAGTAAAAAAAAGGTGAAAAGAGTGGTGAGAGAGTGCAAAAAGAGAGCAGATGATAGAGTGGGAGAGGCACTGTCAAGAAATTTTGATGAAAATAAGAAAAAATTTTGGAGCGAGATAAACAAGTTAAGAAAGCCTAGGGAACGAATGAATTTGTCAGTTAAAAACAGAGCAGGGGAGTTAGTAGATGGGGAGAGAGAGGTATTGGGTAAATGGCAGGAATATTTTGGGGAACTTTTAAATGTCGATGAAGAAAGGGAGGCAGTAATTTCATGCACTGGACAGGGAGGTATACCATCTTGTAGGAGTGAAGAAGAGCTGGATGTGAGTGTGGGGGAGGTGCATGAGGCATTACGTAGAATGAAAGGGGGTAAAGCAGCTGGAACTGAGGGGATCATGACAGAAATGTAGGGAAGTTTTCATAGCATTTATGGATTTAGTAAAGGCATATGATAGAGTGGATAGGGGAGCAATGTGGCAGATGTTGCAAGTATATGGAATAGGTAGTAAGTTACTAAATAATGTAAAGAGTTTTTATGAGGATAGTGAAGCTCAGGTTAGGGTGTGTAGAAGAGAGGGAGACTACTTCCCAGTAAAAGTAGGTCTTAGACAGGGATGTGTAATGTCACCATGGTTGTTTAATATATTTATAGGTGGGATTGGAAAAGAAGTAAATGCTAGGGTGTTGGGGAGAGGGGTGGGATCAAATTATGGGGAATCAAATACAAAATGAGAGTTGACACAGTTACTTTTTGCTGATGATACTGTGCTTATGGGAGATTCTAAAGAAAAGTTGCAAAGGTTAGTGGATGACTTTGGGAGTGTGTGTAAAGGTAGAAAGTTGAAAGTGAACGTAGAAAAGAGTTATTTTCCTCATTGTTTTTCAACCAAATTTACTTTTTATTTTTGTATAGGATCATTTGGGGCAAGTATGGTAAACTCATATTTTTTGGTATACATTAGACAAGAAATGTTGACTTTGTACAGTCTCTTAATGTATCCCTATGTGTTACAAGTTATAATGTGTTTGCTATATGTGAATTTCTTGTATTTACCATCATCGATGAACACATCTGTTGCATAAAGTGAGGGACACCTGAATTCCTTTTTTGTAGCAAACCTTATAATTTCATCATATACATATAGTAGTATATATTACATAGCCATACTTCTTTTTACAATGCCTGCACTTTAAGGGAGGGGTTTGGGATATTGGCAGTTTGGAGGGATATGTTGTGTATCTTTATACGTATATGCTTCTAAACTGTTGTATTCTGAGCACCTCTGCAAAAACAGTGATAATGTGTGAGTGTGGTGAAAGTGTTGAATGATGATGAAAGTATTTTCTTTTTGGGGATTTTCTTTCTTTTTTGGGTCACCCTGCCTCGGTGGGAGACTGCCGACTTGTTGAAAAAAAAAAAAAAACTTTTTACATAATGCAGTCTTGTAGTTGTTGCTAGGTAGAGTAACTTTTCCTTAGGATGCATAAAAAATTAGGTACAGTATGTTAGATGTTTGTAGTGCAGTGAACATTAGGGTCATTTAACCTTTGTATAAATTTTATGGAATTTCCTTATGTGAAACAAAATAACCATGTTACAGGATCTGTGGCCAAAGCTAGACTGGAAATCAGTAGCAGCTCAGAAGCACGAAAGCTGCAAGATGAAGCTGCTGAGAGAAGCTCCATGCCCTACAGACCTCCAGAGTTATTTAACGTCGAGTCACATTGTCATATAGATGAACGTACTGATGTTTGGGTAAATCATAATAATTTTTTGCATGGTAACATTTTCATTATTTATTAAAAGTGAAATGGTCACTTAAAATTTAGCTTCAGTCATTTACAATTTTTTGGCACCACATCAAGCATGCGTGAGTATGTTAGATAGGAGTGAATGGAGACGAATGGGTTTTGGAACCTGACGAGCTGTTGGAGTATGAGCAGGGTAATATTTTGTGAAGGGTTTCAGGGAAACTGGTTAGCCAGACTTGAGTCCTGGAAATGGGAAGTACAATGCCTGCAATTTAAAGGAGAGGGTTGGGATATTGGCAATTTGAAGGGACTTTTAAACTGTCGTATCTGAGCACCTCTGCAAAGACAGTGATTATGTATAAGTGATGGTGAAAGTGTTGATTGGTGATGAAAGCATTTTTTCTTTTTGGGTCACCTGCCTCGGTGGGTAATAGCCGAGGTGTTAAAAAAAAAATTATCTAAATTGTTTGTATATACAAATATCGAACTTAATCCGTTCCAGGAGCTAGTTCTAAATTCGAAAAGTCTGAAAAGCGAAGCAATATTTCCCATAAGAAATAATGGAAATACAGTTAATCCGTTCCAGAAACCCAAAAATTTTCACAAAAAAGTACATTTTATAGAGATTAATTACAGTTTTACATACACACAACAAATATGGTGTTCAATTATCTATTAATAAATTTAAATAAACATATAAAATAACATTTTACTTACCTTTATTGAAGATTGGTGATGGCATCTGGAAGATTGGGAGGAGGAGAGAGGGAGTTGCGGTTAGTGTTTGGAAGGAGAATCCCCCTCCATGAGGACTTCAGGTATGAAAGCCCTCTCTGGGGTTACTTCTCTTCTTTGTCTTTTAATGCCACTAGGACCAGCTTGAGAGTCACTGGACCCCAATCTCACAAAATAACTGTCCACAGTCCTCTGTTTCTGGTGCCTCTTTAAGATTTCCCTAAAATGGGACATGGTTCTGTCACTGAAATTGTTGCAAAGATGGCTTGTTTCAGCTTGCTCAGGGTGGTACTTCTCCACAAACATTTGGACATCATTCCACTTCTGTATTATTTCCTTCTTCACATCTATGGTGTTTCTCACGTTCTTTACCACAGGAGTACCACTAGCAAGTTTCATTGCTCCCATTGTAGCTTATTTCACAGTCCCACAAGCACTAAACACGATGAAATAATCGTAAAATGTTTGAATGAGATCGCAGGTTAGTGTTCACTCAAGCATCAACAAAACCAGACTGGCTTACGGTGCCTGCATGGGGACATGGACAGAGCAGGCTGCCTGACAGGTAAGGTACCCGGCGGTTCGAAAACAGGGGCGAGTTCGATAATAGGGACAAAGTTGGTTCGAAAAAAGGGTTCTATTTTTGAAGAGTTCGATAAGCGATGCGTTAGAAATTTGAGGCTCCACTGTATGTTAACTAGGCAAGCACCAATCTTTGCAGCACTCTCTTCACATTTTTCTTTGAAACAGAAACTCATATTTTGGGATGATTGTGTACATGTATAAAATTATAAATATTTTTTCTCAAACATTAGTGATAATCTACATCTTCTACTTTACCTTGCAGTCACTAGGGTGCTTGCTGTATGCATTATGCTTCTTCAAGTCTCCATTTGATGCAGTGTACGAGAGAGGAGACAGTGTAGCCTTAGCAGTGGTTAGTGGGTCCTTCAAATTCCCTGAACCTCATCCCTTTTCACAGGTTTGTTGACCTCCCTTCTTTATTAAATTCATCTATGGATAGGAAATATATTGGTAAGAAGTACTATTAGTGCCCGTGAGCATAATATACTGTGCGGTGCTGGTACAAATTTTCTGAGTAAAATCTTATGGTAGATCATAAAGGGTAAAAAATGATATGTATGTAAATACACCTACCATCCGATTTTCGACCTGTTCGACATACGACCACTCGACTTACGACAATGTTTTGTATGCCAAATTTCTGGGAAAAAACAACTGTTTGTGTTTATCCTGAACCTTACAGTATAAAATACAGTTCTAACAGCATAAAAAGTAAAGTAAAAAATGAAATACCAAAATAAAACAATAAAATAAAATCATTACAAAAATGTGATGTTGATATTCAGTAGTACGGTTCAACTTACATCCATTTTGACTCGTGACCAGTTGGTCGGAACCAAGTTCCGTCGTAAGTCGGATGGTAGGTGTACATATTCAAAACAACCACTGTGAAAAAATGGCAGAACAGACATAACTCAAACCAACATGGTTTTCGAGCAAGACAATCAAGACCGTCACAGCTGCTGAACCACTATGACAGAATTATGGAGGCTTTGGAAGACAACCAATATGCAGGTGTAATATGCAAGGACTTTGTAAAGGCATTTAATAGATGTGATCATGGGAAGGTTGCACACAAAATAAGGGCCATAGGCATTACGGGGAAGGTAGGCAGATGGATTTTCGGGTTTCTAACAATGAACACAATAGTAGTAGTAAACAGTAAAATCCAACATCAGCAAGGCAAAAAGCTCAGTTCCCCAAGGCACTGTCCTGGCACCTCTGCTATTTCTCATCCTCATAGCACACATAAATATAAACACCTGTCACAGTTTTGTATCATCATTTACAGACACTAAAATTACAGGAAGATATAAGCAGTGTTTTCCAGTGGGCAGTGGAGAAAATATGATGTTTATTGGTGATAAGTTCCAACTGCTTAGGCATGGAAAGAATGATGAGCTCAAAAGGAACACTGTATACAAATTCAAGTGGATTGTCAAACAGAATGAAAGGAACACGGGAAAGACTTGGGAATAATTATGTAAGATGACCTTTCTTTCAAAGAACACAATAAACAGCCAGAGAGATGATGGGGTGAGTAATGAGAAGTTTCACAACAAGGGAAATAATGCTGATCGTGACCCTTTTCAAATTGATAGTGCCCCCTCATTTGGAATATTGTAGTGTTGACAGCCCTGTTCAGAGCTGGAGAAAATATCACAGCTGGGACAAATAGAGATAATTTATGGCCCACATAGAGCCAGTAAAGCATTTAACCCTTTCGATGTCAATCCCGTTGTCTTACAGCTTTGAAACCATGGTTGGTCCCATTGTACTTCGCCATGAGCTCAGCTCACTCAGATGAGCTGTGAGCAGTGAATTTGGACCTAGATATGAGAGAATGGGTCTGTGTGGTAAGTGTGCACCATATAAAAAAAATCCTGCAGCACACAGTGCATAATGATAAAAAAGAACTGCCATTGTGTTTTTGGTTTAAAGCAGTGACTTTGCAGTGTATTTCTGTATGGTTTTATGGTTCTATTCTTGGTCTTATTTAATAGAATGAAAGATATATTACAAAAATAGAATGATTTTTGATTGGTTTCAGGACTGAAATTGAGTTCCAAGTAGCAGAAATGTTCAATTTTTGCCGATATTCCAAAGTCCAAAAATAATGTCACTTGTCCAACGTGCATCCATCTGGCCAGTTTAATATGCATTTAGGAATGCACTGACATTATTTATACAATTATTACAATAATGCAATAGTCAGCATAACAGTAAATCTTCATTAATGGGGGGAATAAAAATTCAAGATGCAAAGCAAATGTAATATTAAAGGGTCCTAGAGACGTGACTAGGAATGTCTACATTGTTTATTGTGGACCCTATTTTTAAATTGGCAGTTTTTTAATTTTGTGTGAAATTGGCCAAATTGCCCATTTCTGATCACTTTATTATATAGTTGAAATATGTAAATGGGCAGTTTCTTGTACTCAATTGATAGAATATAAGGAATATTAGTGAAACAGCTATGAGTTTGGTTGCCTGGAACAATGGAATTGGCCAAAAATAGGGCACAAAGTGGGCAGAATCGCTGATGCATAAATATCGCCGAGATCGCTGACTTTTCAGGAGTGTAATTCTGTAAGTTTTCCTTCAAATTTTGTGCTTTTGGTTTCATTACCTTCAGAAAAAGATACTCTTATCATTTCATATGATGCTGTTTTTTTCTTTGACCCTGAGAGGAAGTTTGAGATCAGGGGTCTCGACCCTGAAAGGGTTAAATTGCTGGGAACACCTTAAAGTCTTAAATATGTACTCAAGAAGTGAGATACACGATAATATATACCTGGAAAGTACTCGAGGGCCTGGTCCCAAATCTGCACACTGCCATAACATACTGGAGTGAGGGATATGTTAGGAAGTGCAAAATAAACCCAGTGAATAGCAAGGGGCACATTGGGCACAATAAAGGAACACTGTATCAACATTGGTAGCTTGAGATTATTCAACATCTTACTAGAAGATATCAGAAACACTTGCTGGAACAAGTGCAGAAGTCTTCAGGAGGAAATTGGACAAGTGTCTTTGCCAGGTACCAGATCAACCAAGCTGTGATGGATATGTGGGGCAGCAGGCCTCCAGAAGCAACAGCCTGATTGACCTGGCTATCACCAGACAAGCCTGGTCCATAACCAGGCTCCAGGAGTAGGAAGACTCAAAACTCATCAAAGGTATATTAGAGGCAAAGGCATTCCTAGCGCTTTTGTGATTTCTCACATTATCTTTAATAATGGGAGAAATCACGAAAGCTATTGGAAGTTCACTGTTTTTAGTTTAACATATTTATTATGCACCCCATACCCATCCTGTAGGTGGTAGTCAAAGGATTACAGAGGTTCATAATGTGTCCAGGTATATACTGGGCCCCAAAGTTTTGAGAGCTGAACAAGTTAAAAAGGTAATGAGCTCCAAGTAGATCTGGTAAGTAAGTTTATTCAGGTATACACAAATACAGTTGCATAGATTATCATACAAAGCAGGGGTCCCACAGGGGTCAGTCTTGGGACCAGTGCTATTCTTGGTATATGTGAACGACATGACGGAAGGGATAGACTCAGAAGTGTCCCTGTTTGCAGATGATGTGAAGTTAATGAGGAGAATTAAATCAGATGCAGACCAGACAGGTCTACAGAGAGACCTGGACAGGTTGGATGAGTGGCCCAACAACTGACTCCTAGAATTGAACCCCACCAAATGCAAAGTCATGAAGATCGGAGAAGGGCAAAGAAGACCGCAGACAGAGTATAGGCTAGAAGACCAAAGACTGCAAACCTCACTCAAGGAGAAAGATCCAGACATCGCCAGAAGCACACATTAACCAGATAACTGCTGCGGCATATGGGTGCCTGGCTAACCTGAGAATAGCGTTCCGGTACCTCAGTAAGGAATCGTTCAAGACTTTATACACTGTGTACGTCAGGCCCATACTGGAGTACTCAGCACCAGTTTGGAACCCACACCTGGTCAAACACATCAAGAAATTAGAGAAAGTGCAAAGGTTTGCAGCAAGGCTGGTTCCAGAGCTAAGGGGAATGTCCTATGAAGAAAGGTTAAGGGAAATCAGTCTGACAACACTGGAGGACAGGAGGGTCAGGAGAGACATGATAACGGCATACAAAATACTGTGTGGAATAGACAAGGTGGACAGAGACAGGATGTTCCAGAGATGGGACACAGAAACAAGGGGTCACAATTGGAAACTGAAGACTCAGATGAGTCAAAGGGATGTTAGGAAGTATTTCTTCAGCCACAGAGTTGTTAAGAAGTGGAATAGTCTGGCAAGTGATGTAGCAGAGGCAGGAACTATACATGGTTTTAAGACGAGGTATGATAAAGCTCATGGAGCAGAGAGAGGGAGGACCCAGTAGCAGTCAGTGAAGAGGCGGGGCCAGGAGCTGAGTCTCAATCCCTGCAACCACAATTAGGTGAGTACAATTAGGTGAATTAGGTGAGTACACACACATGCACACACACATACCCACACACGTGCACACGCTGCACGTATGTGTGTATATGACCAGTGAAAGAAGTACAGTGGTACCTTGACTTATGAGTTTAATTTGTTCTTTGACCCAGCTCGTAACTCAATTTACTAGTACATATATCAAATCACATAGGTAGTAGGTTGGTAGATAGCAACCACCCAGGGAGGTACTACCGCCCTGCCAAGTGAGTGTAAAACGAAAGCCTGTAATTGTTTTACATAATGGTAGGATTGCTGGTGTCCTTTTTTCTGTTTCATAAACATGCAAGATTTCAGGTACGTCTTGCTACTTCTACTTACACTTAGGTCACACTACACATACATGTAGTACAAGCATATATAAGGTTGAGGGAAATATATGTAATTGAATAATTTTGTATTATGTATAATTTTGTCTTTGTATTGTAATAGATTTAAGGGGTTAGGATTAAAATAGTCTAATAACTAAGGCAAATTGTCCTAGTTCTCAGATATTTTAAATTGGGGGAGAAAGGGGGATGTGATGTAGTTCAGCTGGGCTTGTGAGGTCTCTGGGGAGACCTAATTTAACCAAACATGCAAGATTTCAGGTACGTCTTGCTACTTCTACTTACACTTAGGTCACACTACACATACATGTACAAGCATATATATACATACCCCTCTGGGTTTTCTTCTATTTTCTTTCTAGTTCTTGTTCTTGTCTATTTCCTCTTATCTCCATGGGGAAGTGGAACAGGATTCTTCCTCCGTAAGCCAAGCATGTTGTAAGAGGCGACTAAAATGCCAGGAGCAAGGGGCTAGTAACCCCTTCTCCTGTATATGTATTACTAAATTCAAAAGGCGAAACTTTCGTTTTTCCTTTGGGGGCCACCCCATCTCAGTGGGATACGGCTGGTGCGTTGAAAAAAAGAAAAGATATATCA